TTTGGAATTTTGTAAAATTTAAGCATTTATAAAAAAAAATTTTAATTTTGAAGAGCAATAGAACTCTGGTTAAATGTCTTCATAGTAAACAAATCTGACGTTTTAATTATGAATTTTATGTAAAATATAGTTGATATTTTTATGGTTAAAAGGTATTTTATTGCAAAAATTAAATATTTGATGTGAAAGGACCTAAAATACCCTCTGATTTCGCTTTTTATTACGAATTTTAAGAAATTTAAATATGCTTATATTATAAGTTTTTCCATGATTTTTTTTTACAAATTATGCAAATTTTAATACATTAACATTTATTTTCTTTGTCATTTTGGTACTTTGATATGATATTTAATTTACGTATTATCTTTTAATACCATTTAATCATTCAAAAAAAATGTATGACATTTTTACAATTTTAGTGATGACAAAAGTTGTTGAAATTATTTTAAAATAATTCAATTCAATGACTTTATCAAAGTATAAGATAACTTATGCTGTATTTAAAAACAATGCAAATTTATTTTACAAGGGAACATAGACCAATTTAACACAAAAAATTCAAATATTATTTTAAATCGCTGGATAAAAAAAAGAGTATAGGACAAGGAAGCAATGTAATCGATTGAATAAGCAAATTCATGATATGCAAATAGTTCATAATTTAGCCCTCTCAAAATTTCAAAAATTATGGGCCAAATCACCCAGGCTGGAAGCTTAAATATTTTATGTAGACCCCTTGCAAAAAAAATAATAAAACAGACTATAGATGAGAAATAATAACCTTTTTTTTTAATTAGGGGCAGATAATTTTAAATTTTTAAAACAAATATCAAAATATAATTTGTAAGATAAGATAAAAAAAAAATATATACCTTTAGGTAATTACATTACATACCATTGATAATTTATTCTTACATCCAACAAAATATAAAAAAACGGCAATACTAATAATCCATTTTCATTCCTTAATCATGATTATGAGTTTTGTGTAATTAAGTTTTATTATATATCATAAAATTATTTTTATTAAATTAAAAATTAAATCAATTAAACGTTTAAGGTATTTGATGTAAGGTCGTGATTTATAGATAGCGGTACATATATAAAGCTACTTATATCTAAATGAAAGATTTGTATTACAGAATATCTAATAAATAATAGTTATTTAAGATGAAATTTTTAAGCTTATTTGAAGTTCATTTCCAGATTAGGTTTTAGTGAAAACAATCTATAATGTAATGTTAAAACTAACTTGGAATCATGGAAAGTATATAATATAGCAAAGGAATCATTAAATATCTAGTATAAATCTTTAGATGCTATTAGCTGAACAGAAACAAAAATATGTAATTAATACTTTGTGAATAGAAATTCAAGTTGTTAATATGGTAGAAAAAAAATTTCGTAGCTAAGTAAAATTTGAAAAATAATTTAATTTTAAAATATGAATAGATACCTTATTTTTCAGATAAAATTTTGAATTATTTTGTCTGATTAATTATTTTAATGAATTTAATCGCTACCACTTAGTTAATAACTAAATAAAAAATGGTTTTTATATTTTATATGTCTAAAAATTTTCTTATCCAAGTTGATGCTTCTAGCGCTTAAAATGTAAAAAAATTAAATAAATTAGTTTTAGGCTGGATAAAAGTTTTAGATAGTAGATTAATTTACAATATTTGGGAATACTTTTCTAATTTTCTTTGCTCCATGAGAATATAAAGTTAAAAAATTTAAACAACTTGGTCTTGGACCGTATAATTAGTTTGTGGTATTAAAAACCATGGGGAAAAGTTTTAAATTATACTAATTTTATTTACATCATAATAAAATATAAAAAGTTTTTAAAAAACGTGGTTTTGGGACGGATACAAAATTTTTAGTTAGTAGGAATATTCCAAAATCGCCAGTAGTGGTTTGAAGTTGATACCAACTAGTGAAGGTATACAGTTCGGGGTCAGACCGCTCCTCAAACTATAGAAAAATCTGAAAAAATTGTCAGCTGCCATCAGATTCAGTTAAGAAACCAAATGGTTATTGTGTTGTGGCTGACAAAATAACTTAGATTTTCTCGTTTCTAAACTCGATCTGAATGCAACTAAATACCTTTTAAGACTTTTTTAGTTTTTGTATCTTTACTCGAAAAAAGATTAAAATTTTTAAACAATTCTTGAAAGGTGATGTGTCCTTATTTTTACTTCTACTCCTGAATCTTATATTTCTTCTATTTTGTTTCTAAAGATCGAAGATCACTTTATTTTTATGTAGATTTTAACCTTGTTACTTGAATACTTCATTACCTATTTGGTCCATACCTAAGTATGCATTTTAAAATAGTGAAATCTTACTGGGCGTTTATGTTTCATTCTTCACAACCCCCCCCCCCTCCACTATATCCATGCTAAAATATATATATCGCGATTGTTTTCATTTTCGTTCATTCATTTTAAATATTTTAATTTTACCTTTTGGATTATTATCCTTTAATATTTTTCTTTTACCATTTTGTTAACTACTTCCATACTTTGTGGTTTCTACTTAAATGGTTAGATAAAACAAATAGAGTTCGAAAAAAAATTCACATAAACTTTGCAGACTTTGGCACCCCTTACTATAGACAATTCTAATACAGGTCGTAAGTCTCGACATCAAGCCACTATCAGTTTCTCGCATATCCCAAAATTATTTCAAGCATACATTGACTTCCTATGGGTGACGTAAATAGCAGGACACCAAATCTAGGTTCACCTAATAATGCGCCTAATCTTCAAAGCAAAGCAACTGCACTGCTCTTCTTCTCAATCTCGTTATATTTTACTCCAACCATGGAAAAGGTAGATAATATTACAACCAAGTTTCAAGAGAAGACATGGCAAAACCTAGATGCAGAGTATCTCAAAGATAGTAATGATTTCAAATTTCTGTGCAAGCTCGACAAGAGTATACGTCTTCACCAACTTTGGCATAGTCGACACTTTAACTAAAGAGTCAGGATTCTTGTCCCCGGCATGATGTGTCATTTGCAGACAAATACCTTGGACGTAAGGAAATCAACTTTATTGCTGAGAAATACTTTCACGATAGACCCCAGAGTCCTAAAATATTTCCGGTGGAATATTCCCGAACCGACTGCCGAGCGCTATAAGAAGAGAAAATGGGTAATCATGAGGGTATATAATTAAAAATTATTTTAAAAAAAAATTACCCCATTGTTTTCATTATTACCAGTAAATGAACCCAATGCTTAACAACTTGCGGTCAGATTTTAGATGTTTCATACCGTTAATCTTTTCTATGCTTAATAGACATGAAATTATGACATCATAAACTAAACTAGAACCTTCTTCAATCTTAAAGATAAATTCTTCCGACTCCTATTTCTCTTTCTTTCACTCATTACATATTGTTGCGGTTTAACCATTACCATTCTTTCAATTCTAAATTATCAAGATCTAAGTTCCCAAATTGTATAAAATAGAATTCTCTTTATTCAACCTGGAATCACGATATAAAGAGCAGATTTAGTTTTATTTCTGTATTGATATGTGGGTACAGATAGTAGATTGAAGAGATAAGGATAGTTGTTTGTGGGGATTTTAATTAAAAATTCCCATATAACATTAATATATAAATCATAAATCTGCCGAAAGCCCATCATTAACCCCTGTCCTAGTTTAAATTACATTCTTCTGCCTTGCCAAGATATTAAATTTCTGGCCCGGATTTTATGTCCAGCTATTTAGTTCCAGATTATAAATATTTGGTTATTCTAACATTTTGATTGTATTTTAAATATAATTCCGAGGGGAATCAAAAATATTAAGCTATTGAATGCAGGGTTGGCAAGTCGGTCAATTGACCAGTCAAATTCAGTCAATTGACCGGAGGAGTATTTGACCTGTCAAATACGGTCAAATACTCTAAAAAATTTAAAGGAAAAATGAATTAAAAATATGTTTAAAAAAGGGAAAAACGATGTAAATACATGTGATCACAATGTTTGCTTATTTGGGTCCACAATATCAAGAGGAGAACTCACTAGCAGTGAAATTAATGAAGTATGTGATATAATGCAAGAATTAGCTATTTTACAAGGTAGTGATGACCAAAATATTTTAAGTGATATAATTAATTTCAGAAGCAAAAACAGCATGTTTAATATAGCAAATTATGTGGAAATTAGTAATTTCCAGAAACAATCAATTCTGACCTCAAGAGATTAAACTTTGTCTACCCTTCCCAGAGACTAACAATTCCTAGTTCTACTTCTTCTTTAGAAAGAAGGTCGATTTGGGTTAATATTCTTATGAAAATAGAAATTGATTGAAGATCTAAGACATCAGGAAAATTGATTAAAAAATATTATAGAAAATGTTAATATTGAATATGAATCAGAACAAGACTCTGCTAAATATAGCTACACGTTAGTTAATGAATGACAATGAATTTAAAAAATTTATTATAGATTCATTTTACTATTATATTCAAAATAAAGTTAATATTAACTTAAAAAAATATATATTTGAATTTGACCACATTTGACCGGTCAAATATCGGTCAATTGACCGAAACGTATTTGACCAATCAAATGCACAACTCTGATTGAATGTTTAAAGAATCCTATTTTGTATTTTTTAACTGAATAATTGATATATAATTTAAATTTACCCCATTAAATCCTAGTATGGTAAAAAAAAAGGGTAGTTATTTTAAAAAATATAAAATGAACTAAAAAAAAATCCAAGCGTAACTACTAGAAATATACTATAATTTTTCCTAATTTATATATTAATAGAAACGCCATACCTTAAATAATAGTTTATAACATTTATCTTTAATCATGAGCAGACATTAGACATTTTTATAAAATAACCTTAAAAAAATTGGGGGGGGGGGGAGGGTGATTGTCGTCCTTTTCAGTCTTTTTTATGGTATATTGGGGTTGTGGGTGATCAAATAAAAAAGAATATAAAAGATAAGTTTTAAAAAATCATTACCACCACATTCCAAGACATTGAACTGAGGAGTGTCTGTTTAATATAAGTGAGATACACAGATTCAAAAAATTGAATAAAATTACAGGTCTATGATACAATTTGAACATCATCTTTTTCTTGTACGATAAGAATTCCATAACTTCATTTATAATAATAAATTAATCTATATCATCACTTTTGCTTTAAAATATTATAAAAATGTTAAAACGAATATCATAAATGGCAAGAAATATTTTTAAACAAAATAATATACTGAAATAAATTTTATGATTTTATTATTTTCGATTTGATTTAAATGATATAAAATCGAAATAAAATAGATAATGAGGTAAAAAGTGAAATAAATTAAAAATTATAACAATATTTACGCTAACATTTTTTTTTAATTATGGGGTATAAAAGTATAGAACCGAATAAAAATAAACTTTTTGTAATTTATTTTTAAGGATTAATTTCGAAGTTAATTAATTGATTTTTATTGCTAATTAAAATTTTAATATTTTAAATTCATGTGAAATTAAATGTTATATGCCTTATATAAATATTTTTTATGAGTTAATACTATGTTTACGTTTATCTTGTTCATTTTAATTTTTTTTTACCTATGAGAAATTATTTGTATCCCTGTATTTTATAAAAAAAAAATATGTTAATGCTATGAGGTTTATTTTAATATTATAAATATACTATATTTTATCATTAATAAATGAAATTTGCCGCTTAAAGATATTTATTTTAAATGAATATAAGTACGAAGTAAATTTTAAGTGCTTATATAATCCGAATTCTACTTATATAAAATTAAAAAATTTTTTTAAATTGGAAATTGTTTATTAATATCTTTACAAAGATCCTATTAACAACTGGGCCATTCTAATAAATTGTCGAAATATAAACCCTGGCGAAGGCCCACTAAATGAAAGGTATGAAAGAGAGACCCTCCCCCCTCACGTTATTATAAAGAAAAATCACTTCTTATAAATTAAAATAGAAGTGGAGATAGAACTTATAATATCAAGCGATAAAATTAATTTATTGGATTGTAAAGCTGCAATGTATATATACCCCGTCTTTCTGAATTATAAATATTATTTTTCGATAGGTTATGGATAAAAAAGGAACATTGAGTGAGGGAAAGTGAATAGTTGATAACAATTAATAATATATAAAATTTTGAGATCAAATTAATTGGAAATTTTTATATTATAGAAATCATTCAAAGAATGTAACAAAATTTATTTTCATGAATTCTTTTTTTCAAAGAGCTTTGTATTTATTTTATAGAATCGGATATTATGATTTCTTTCGCAAATATAAATTATTGATAACATGTCACTTGCAAAATCACCTCTAAAGTTAAAATCACTTTGACATATTGTTTCCTTCTCAAAGTTTTATCATAAGTCACATATCACAACTCTAAAATGATATCAAATATAATATTATTAAAAATTATAAAATAACTCATATAATATTTATCTACCTGAGATAGCATGATATATCCTTATTCACATGGATAAAACAAAATATAAGTATTATTCGAAAATTTATAATGTTTATATACATATATAAGAATTATAAAAATTATATTATAATAATGACGCCTTAAATTATTAAAGTATTTGAAGAATTATTTTTAAATAAAAAGGTTAAGTAGAAATAATATGGACCAATAACCATCATAGTAAAAAAAATTTAAGAAGAAAAAAAATTAACTTCATAAAATTTACCAAAAGGGTGAAATAATATATTTATATTATTTTGACAAAGAATGTATACAAAATTAAAACATTATATTCTATTTTTCTAAACTTGATGTATAGAGAAGATTTATAACTCGATATTTGCAGAATCGAAAAAAACACTAAAATAAATAAATATAAATTATTCCTTCCTCACAAAATACATTTTTTATCCCACTGATTACCACTTTATGAAACAACGCTAAATATTTTTAGATTTCCAATAGATTGAGCAGCAAATTCATAATGATACTAGTGCTGCCAAGGAGAACTTTTACATCCGGAAAAGGTCAATATAAATATGCCGTTGTAATTGAAGGTCGTCCATAGTATATTATATATAACAATAGGCGGATAAAGGGTAGGATGTGCAGAACGGATTTATATATATATAATCTTTATTATTTGAAAACATTGCATAACAAATTATTTTACAGAGATGGGTGGATACCATTTTTTAAGTCGAAAGACTGGGAGGATTATTTCAAAAACGTGGGCGGAATGGTTGAACATATTTTGAAAAAACGAGTGGGTTAATACACTCTCATTGCAAACTTTAAGGGCTATCCCAATCTATGGATGTATATAGCCAAATTTATTATATACTATAACACAATCAGTTGTGAAAAATTATTTGGTTATTATAAATATTAGCAAGCATTTTAAAGGAAATTTTAGCATTTTTATTCTTACTTCAATACATTGTGTTTTATTTAAGGACTTTCTTTCATACATTTAGTATATAATGGGAAATGATAAAACATTTTGAATTATTCTTTTTATAATAAGATTGATTATGCAGAATTATAGTTAATAGTGGATAAATCAGCTGTAATATTTTTTTTAAATCGATATCAATATATTTTGACAAGAGTGATCTGAATGCCGGGTCACAAAGGGGTAGTCAAGGCTAAGATGGGGGGGGGGTACACTATGGTACCCTATAAATTTTATTCGAGGTCTTTATGTTCACTTATTGCAGGCTTTTGACTATGTTCATTTATATAAAAATAATTTTGGTTTGTCACTTTTTATTACATAAAAATGTTATTTTACCCATTTAATTTTGACGCATTTGTTTATTATACTATATCTACATAGGCCCGTGCTCACTACATAGGGGAGCAAAATTGAAAATTATTTATTCAAGATACAAGGAAAATTATAGGTAAGAATTATAACAGACTCATTAACATTAGATGGAACTATATTTTATAAATTTTTAAAAGTCTGGTTTATGAAATTGCCTTTGCCTAGAAAGCAATCTTGGATATTATGATATTATTTTTCCTTTAAGAAAGAAAATCACTACACCATAGTCTTCATTAATAGTTAATACATAAACTTCATGAGTGGATATACTTTAATTCGACTATTAGATGTTTAATTTAATATATATTATATAACCTTATAAAAAATGACAAATTAGATTAATAAAAAAATAATACTTTTAGAGAACTGATATGCTAGAAAGTGCCATATAATAGTTTATTTCAGAGATCTGCAATGGGCAGGTTTAAACCAGCAAGTTCGTCCCCGTGTTGTTTAAAAAATATTTTAGCACGCTCTCCCGCCACCCATTATCCAAAAAAATATGTAAATCCCCCCCCCCTGTTTAAATTTTTTACTCGTCTGCCCATATTTAAAATTTTTAACTCATGCTCACCCTTTTCTTTTAATTTTTTAAACATCTAATAAAAAAAATGATTCTGATGTACCTGCAAAAGTATTTTATAATTAGAGAAAATACAATGACCCCATTTTATCAATCATGTCACTAGATTGTAAAAGCACAGAGTTCTCGTCATACATTATATAAATGCTTTCTAACATTTTGTGCTTTTTATTCCATCTCAGGTCTATATTTTGTTCTTGGGACTTGTTTAGATCACATTCCCCGTTTTTTTAAAAAATGTCAGATTTGCTTTTGAATAATTTCTTAAGTAATTTCCAAAATAAAATTTGGTTGAAATGTATTACTTAGAATTATGTTCCGCGTATGAGCTGAACAATTTAGTCTATATAGCTAATATTTTATAAATAAAAGAAAAATATTTATAAATATATTTTATTTAGCAAAGACACTTAGAATATCTAAAAAATTGAGATGGATTTTTATAAAATTTACCCTTCCAACGCCTTTTATATTAGCTCCAGTGGTGTATTGCATATAAACTTGGATGGGGGCTACGATTTTTTATATAATTTTTTAAAAATTTACTTTTTTATTATGAATAAATTTTTTATTTAGGCTGTGTCCTAAATATCAAAAATATAAATAACTATTAATTTGAAGAAAAAAATAACAAGCTATTTTTAATGTAAAAATAAAATAGTGTTCTAAATCATTTTTTGTCATTTATAAAAAAATAATAGAAATAAACAAATTTTAATAAAATTTTCCTTAAAATTTATAAATTTGTGTAATTTTTATGAAAAAAACTAGTAAGTATTCTCGTTTTTTTGTTTTTGATTATGTTTTTTTTTGTTTTTTGGTTATGTTTTTTTTGTTTTTGGTTATGTTTTTTTTGTTTTTCTTATTTTTATTTTTACAAAAATTTAAAAAATAAATAACAGTAGATTTCGGACATGTATAATTTAGTAATTTGCGAAATTTATAAACTTTTAGGTTTTTTTCAATGTATTTAGGACACATACTTATATATATTTTTTAAAAATAATAAAAGTTTAATACTACCGATATCTATACAGATTGAAAAGTATATAAATATGAAAAAAAAAATTCCATAAATCTTTTATTCTTCGTTTTTTTGGGCTGTATTTCTTTAAAAAATTTCCTTCGTCCACGATGATTCCTTTCCCATATTTTGATACATGGATCTGGAATCCATTACGATATCGTATGTCATTAATATTTATGAACATTAAATTTGACGAATTATTTACTATTAAACTTATTCGTTAATATGCCATGATCAAAATCATAAGATGAAAGCTCTTTTTACACTCGGGATAGAGGATCCACACAGTTAATAAATTTATATATTTTTTATTAGTAACATCTTCATCGATATATAGTCAAAGTCCATCATATTAATTTAGTTTGAATCTCTGGCATATTTTTTTTATTTGCTTTTGGCTAATCACGCATCTAGGTTCCTAGGCCAATTTATTTTTGAATAAAGTATATACCGGAAAGAATTTCTAAAATAAATAATTTTGTTTAAATTTATTTAAGTAATTTATTCTCATCATTTTCAAAGCTATCCATTAGACGGAACTGCATGATGCTTTCTAGAGAAATCATTAATGGTTATTTCTAATTTTACTAGTATATAATTTTTTTTAATGGTATATTTTTAAACATAGAGCAACATATGTAAATATTTACCTCATTTAACGACTACATGAAAGAGGGGGTGGGGG